GGTGAATGCGTTAAACCCAATCGGGTTGCCAATTGGAAGCTCAGATACATCCTCGGTAGACATCTCGGATCTGAAGCTTAAAAATTTCTCCGTAACCAAGGATATAGCTGTCGAAGATCGGCGCCAACGGGGGCAGAACCTTTTTCTGCCAGATTGACCTCGACCTCTTGACCCTTGCTAAAGGATGCAATTTCCACGTGTAACTTGCAGAAGGGGACTCCATAAATACCTAGAACAACAAAGGGGGAGGATTAAAAAGTAAGAAGCAGCACATAGCAGAGAGAATACGTACCAGAATTAAACGAATTAGTAGTAGAAGAACTTGAGTCATCGATTTCAATAGTTCAAGCCGGGATAGATAAACCAGGATGGTGAGAGCAACTGCCTAAAATTAGGTCGGCCATAAAATCGTTGCCCTTCTCAACAAATTGGGCACTAAGATAAATACAATTGAAACAAGATTCTAGACATCCAATACTCGGCTGAGCAGGAGCTCTTGGGGGAGTAGGAAGAGGAGCAGGGGCCGAGTTTGAAAGAAGGGGATTGGAAACCGGGTTATGAATAAGACGTCTAGATGGAGCCCTCAAACCACCATGACGACCCCCAAGACCCCGGCTCTGTCCCCGAGTTGGAAGGTGAGAGGAAGGTACTCCACTACCACGGAAACCCCTCCCTCGCCCTTGGGCTGAAGGACGAGATGAGGACACCCTTCTACTTCCACTTCCTCGATAACCTCCTAATAGGGCGGCCTGGGTTTCCTCCTCCGTTCGAGGTCTTCCATACAACCAGTACCTCGGACCAGGAGGCAAACTTTGAATAAACCTTTCTTCTTCATCATCATATCTCTCCTCCTCCTCGGCAACAATCTCATCAGCATGGCCAAAGACACGAGGGCAAGTGGACCTCTCTCGAACATTACAGTTCCTTTCACCCATCCCAAAAGAATTCTCGCACTAAAGTATGTAGAGAAGTGAACAGATGGCAGATAGTCTCATAAACAACGTACTGGAAATAAACAGGACTTAACCAAGCAGACAAGAACAATACGGTGCATTATAGAAGCAAAAATCATCAAACCAGACTCTTTCCCAAAACACGCATGCAAATGAGCTCAAAACAGATAGGAGCAATGATAAACAGAGAACAACATGGAAGAAAGAGAAGCAACGAACAGGTAAAGAAAAACACTGGTAAACGTACCTGAGAAGTATGAACTTCAAGAACGTGAAAGGTATGAACAAAGCAAGAGATACCAGACGCAATGCGATTGTTCGTGAATGGGTGAAAGAGTGAGATGGTGGGTTAAAGAGGAAATGATAGGAAGGTACTGAAGTTGAAAGGTTTCTCAACCCGCGAAAACCAAAAGGCAAGGTTATGAAAGTAATTTAGAGGCTGACAAGATAGTTGAGGGACGTTATGGACAGTAGAAATTAATGTGGAAACGGCGAACATTACACGACGCGCTCGATAAAAGAGACACGTGGAAAGGCAATCATTTGATGCGACAGGAACCGTTTCTGGGAAACCATGAAAGTGGAACCGTCTCCCGAAGAAGGACATTGTACCACACTACAGCAAAACAACCTGGATACAATTGTGTCTGGAGAAGCCCGAGAAAACTCTGATTCTTTCTGGAAGCCAGGTTGATAAGCCGAGATCAGAAGCAACAAAATAATGGCCAGATGACCGACGTCCAGGCTAAAATGCAGACAACACATGGCCTGACTTGGAAATCCCGGCACCCTGAAGACTCAGTCTACCGGGCTGGGGGGAAACTGTTATGGACCTGGAAAAGGCCCATGCCTGCGAAAAGCCCAAACAGCACAAGCCCAAAGGTAAGCTCTATAAATAGGAGTTAAAGACCACAGGTATGACTGATCTCTCAAACCCTATTTTACGCAATCACGACAGTGCACACACACATCCCCTTTGGCTAAGGCCATCATATAGTGTGTAGTGATTCGATGTCCTCAAGATACCTAATTCATAGGTATCTAGAGAGAAAGCACTAGATCTAAGATCAATCATCCGACCTACGGTCGGATACCTCTGCCTCAGGCAGAACACACTTATATAATAAGAATATAATGGATATTGCTTTCACCAATTAACAACAATAATCAAACAATAACACAACACAAATAACTAATTAGTAAAAAAATATAATCAATCACAAAAGTACAAGTCAATATCGTATTTTCGTGTTTACACACAACACGAAAAAGAATTTTTTTGATTTCATACATGCCACACAATATGGATTCGAGTAAATTCGAACTCCAAAAATATCATGTTATATTTATGTACATCTCGGACTTTGTTTACCGAGGGGTGGCACCCCTCGACAAAGTCCTAGATGGCCGGCGTCTGGCCAACGTCCCATCTAAGCGCATTTTTATCGTCATTTATACACTACTGTATTAGTTGTTACAGGTTTTAAATAGGAGCAACCGAACATCAAAAACCCAAGTCACTGAGCATTATCTATTATACACTAATATCATCAACGAGTTTTGTTGTTAAAGAAAAGAATATACATATTTATCATCTATGAAGACTCTCAATCTCTATTTTGGAACACATCATCCTCTCCAAAAGCTTTCATCTACAATATTATTTTATTATTATTATACAGTCAACACATCTTTATTCCAGCTGTTAAAATCTCCATGCCGCTTGATTCCACATGGGCGTTATTTATTATACATTCATATCACCAACGAGTTTTATTGCTGAAGAAGGGAGTATATATTTTTATCAGGAGAATCTCCATCACTCTCTATTTTGGAACACATAATCCTCTGCAAAAGATCTCATCTACTACTTTATTTTCTCACGAAGCACGGATCTGCAATTCTATCAACTTTATTTTATCAGATCACCAAGACATTCTTTTTCCCACATATGGCACCAATGTACAGTTGGTGGTACATAGATGTGTCTCATGGAGGGTGAAGTATGTTGATATAGGGAGTGTCCATAGTGGCAATGGTAGAGAGCAAGACACTAGTGGAGCTTCCCATGGTGCAAAAGGGGGTGTGTGTGGCAAGGATCCCTCTACCAATGGGCAGAGTAACAACATATGTAGAAGATGAAGAAGAAGATCATCCCTCCATGTGTGAGGGGAGTATTTGGAGAGGAGAGTCATCTCCTGCCTAGGGGAGACCGTTGGTCAGCCCCATGAGCTGTCTCCAAGCCATGTCTTGTCCTTAGACAAGACATGATGTCCACTGTCAGTGTACAGGGGCAGCAGTACAGGGATAGGGAGATGTCCCAGTGGTAAGCCTCCATGGCTTGCCATGGGTGCCTTCTAGAATGTTCTATACTTTGGGCTTAGGAGATTGGGCCCAACTGGTGGGCCTAAGGTGAGTAGTATCCAGAACATTATTATTATTATTATTATTTGTTTTTAGGGGTTTATAATGCTTATATCGTTTCAATGGATCATGTAATAAATTGTGATCTCTGTTATTGATTGCTCTAAAGACATTGGTTAAAGAAAATTTAATACTCTCTATTAAATGTTTTTGATTACTTTAAAAAGTAGGTATTAAATTAACTTTATGTTCCTTAACTAGTGTCCTAAAAAAGCTAGTTAGTAGCATGGGGACTGAGTGGTGGGAGAGGACCTCGGTTCGAATCCCACCAACACCATCTGGGGAGGAGCATAAGTACCGTAATCCTTGGACTCGCACTCGAACTCTGGATTAGTCCCATAGGCGGCTCAAAGAGTCGAACCCGCGAGAATACCGAGGGGTTCTGATTCGCCTCAAAGAGGTAATTAGAATCAGTTTCAAAAAAAAAAAAAAAACTAGTTAGCATTTTCCATATTATTATTATATCAGTATTTTAAATTCTTTTTTACTAATACCTAAAATAAAGTTTAAAAAAAAGTAACGCTTCTTTATTTTTTAAAACTACATTTAAAGTAAAAAAAAAATGCCTAAGCAAAAGATAAAAAGGAATAAGGGTAAAAAAAATTTTATTGAGTTTTCATCATTTAATTAAGAGTAAGAAAATAATAGCTAATGTAGTAATGTTTAATATATCTTTTGGAAAATCGAAATAAACATTTAGTTTTTCTTTGAAAACTAATAATTATTATTAAGAAAATAATTATCTTATGTTGCATAAAATAATTATTTTATGTAATAGAGACAAGGTAGCGAGACTCGTTACTTTTAAAAAAGAAAAAAAAAAAAAAAAATCAACCCTACTATGTGATCTCTATTGCATACGATTATCTTATGCATGCATTGGTTTGGGTTCAGGTACAATAGTTTAGGGTGCTGCACGTCATACATTTTAGAACCTCCATTGGCTATTGTTTTCCTTTTAATGGAGCGATATTTATGTGCGGCCCAAAATAAATTTGGTGAGGTGGAGGTGAGAGAAAAGATTGAGGAGAGAGGAGAAAAAAAATTGATTCAGATATCAATTTTTTAGTGAAAAGATCATGGTAGTTCTGGAGCATATTAAAAAATTCTCATTTAATAAGTCTACTTAATTTTCAAAACAGTTTTGAAGAATGGGTGCAGCTAAGTTGGTAACTTGGCGCTGAGTTAGTGGGGGTGGACATGTGTTCGATTCCTGCTGAATGCATTCTTGGGGAGGGGGCTGAACCTTTAGCCATCACTGACCCCCCGCACTCCGGATTAGTCCCATAGCCGGCTCAAAGAGTCGAAGCTCGTGGGGATACCGGAGGGAGCCAACTCGTCTCAAAGAGGTAATTAGGGTTGGGTAACTCCAAAAAAAAAGAAAAAAAAATATTAAAGAATTTCTTCTGGCTACAAACTCGAGCATACAACAATTTACATAACTTCCATTTTTATTCGGCTTTCATATTTACTCTAAAATGATGGAAGAAAATAAAAATAAAAAATAGATGAACACCGCAATGCCTTTCTTATCCACACATCAGAATACAAGCTTCACCTAAAGGCCCCATCATTCTTGTTTTGTTTGTTTCATGGAGGAGTGTGCTCAAATCAAACTAGGTTCTTTCTATAATTGCCAACACACCAATTAATCGCAACCTTATCTTCAGGACATTTCTAAGTCCCTTCGTTTGGTTACTAAAACAAACAAGGTAATTTGACAAATATACTATGCAATATGCATCCTTCTAAACTTTGCATAATGTCAAAAAGTTTGGCCAGATGGACAATGATGTCATCACCTATGCTGCCTATATCATCTTCTCTGAAGAAGATTCCAACTCACAATGTAAACTTGTGTTTTGCTTTTAAAGTTTTGGATTTGAGCAACCAAAGAGGTACAACCCTTCAGTGTGCAGCAAGGAGGCAAGTTAGATACCAAGATGGGGATGAAGATAGAGATGATGAATATGGATATAATGAGGAGATTACTAAGTTGGAGTTCTATAGTCAATCAGCAAGAGGAGAAGCACTTCTTGTTCATGCACTTGTGGACCAGGAGGAAGTAGATGTGCTTATCTTCAAGGTCAGTTTGTCATATGCTAATAATTCCTTTTAGTGTCTTGGTCCCCCAGTAGGTTTGGATAATCAATTGAGAAAACAAAAAGAAACAAATTATTTGATCCCAAAATGAATCTACTTAGAACAGTTAATTCAATTGTAAAAAGAAAGCAAGCAAGGCTACGTTCAAAACTTCAAACAATCTCGGTAAATTTCTTCAGAATCACTTACTCATCTCTCCCTCCCTGAAATTTTGAGTCATTTATCTCTCTAACTTAAAGTTTCTTTATCATTTACTCCCAAAAGTTGAGAGCATCTACAGTGCATCGAATGCATTGAAATTCAGTATATCGCGCTATATCTTACTGGTAAGATATAGTATAAAGTATAAAAGTTGCTTTTATTTTTCTCTTTCCGATACAATACACGCTGACGTGGTGCACTCTCATTAACGTGATGTACCTGCACCCGTAGTATAATAGATTTTTCGCCCAAAGTTAAGGATATAAGTGATAAAAAAGCTTTTAAGTTAGGGGCAAGTGATTCTAAAGCAAACTTAGACTTTCTTTTTTTAAGTTTTCCCTTGGTTAATAATGAAAAGAAAGATTTGAAACAAAATGATTAACTTTTTTATTTTTAATTTAAAAGATTTAACCAAACATTGCTAAGTGGCTGCTCAAAATTCTTTTGATTGGACTAACTTTGGTTGAGTAATTAGTTTAGATAAGCTTTTGTTAACCCTCCATTATTGGTCTTATGGTTTCACCAAATTTTGTTTCGAGAATGGTTTGCTGAATTACTCTAAATAGATGTTTCCTCAGAGAAATTTGGTTACCATACATTTCAGGGGTTCTCTTCATGCTTGAGCTACAGTACCTCCCCTGACCCATCAAGAAGCATTCTTCCAGCCAGGGCAGTAATAATGTCCATAGATAGAATTAAAGGGCCTTTTGACCCTGCCAATATAGAGTATCTGCAGAAGGGTGTAACATGGGAAGAATTCAAGACAAATCTTCTCTCTAATTAAAGAGCATGTAATTTTCTTCTTAAATTTTTTTTCAAACAAGCTTTTCCTTCATCTTTTGTGGCTCCATTTCATCAGAAGTGAGAAATCCTTCAATGGTGCCTAAGTTCCCAAGTGTAGTTAGGATTTTGTTTCATTTTTTTTTTTATACATTGGTGAGAATTGAACATATAACCTAATAGAAACTACCTAAACCCTTTACCACTAAACCAAACTTATTGACTTCGTTTTGTTGTTTTTTATCAATGAGATATTAGGATTGGAGCCCAAGGCTTAAACATCCAGCAACGAGAAGGTTGAACTAAAAGTTTAGTTTGAACAGTTAGTAGATCATAAGCCTTATAAGTTTTCTTTGGAAATGATTGAATTGGGTCTTAAGCCCAAATGATAATACGATACTGAACTGTCACAACTATTATAGCAACTAACTATGGAAATTAAGAGTTGCCATTAAATTTTATTTTAATTTGAAAAAGTCTTAAATATATAACTCGGACTTTATACACTTGGGGCAAAAGAATTACATGCAAGTGCAAAAACAACTTATTGCAGCAGCTGTATGCTTTTGCTTTCGAGTTACATAAATGAATGAATAAATAAATAAATAAATAATTAAATAATGAATCTATGATGAAATTTCCTTATAAGGTAGATGGGCAAAATTGAACACATAGCATGTGTTGCATGTTGCAACATATGAGATCTTCATTATTTCCAAGCCACGGAGTCAATATCATCCCTAGCTTGCTTGTACAACTCAAGCCTTTTAGCTAATTGTGATCTCTTTTCCATAAGTGAAGGGTCTTCATCCAACATGGCCCCTAATTGCTCCTTCTGCATACACCACACAATTTTGTTTTAACCTTACCACCAAGATTATCAAAACCGTGAGCTCACTCAAAAGTACTTGAGAGAGTCCACTGAATGCAAAGAATAAAAGCAAATCGTAAATGAAAAGATGTTGTTACATGTTATAAAGTTATCATTTAAAAATGGGAAGAGATCTTTTGACTCCAGTATAAGATTTAAAAGTCTTACTCCTCATCTTAACCATTAATTTCCGTCCATCTAATGGTTATAATTTATTGAGTTTAAAAATAATATCTATATAAATAAGTATTGATATATAAATATTCCAACTCAAATTTGAGTACTAAAAACGAAAAATTCCGTAATTAAATTAATACAATAGCCAAATCATGCAAAAAGAACGTTCCTGACATTAAAATGGTAGCATGGAAGTAAAGATGGACACTCAATGTTATGTCTTTAAGGACGGGCGCTCCTCAAGGGCCTGAGTCATAACTGAGAAAAAGGAAGGGTAGAGAATCGAAGTACAAGGGGAGAATACCAGAAACATGGAGTTTCAAAATAATACTCAATAAAAAGCAAAAGAAGGTGCGGAAAAAAGGTGTAACATCCCGAGCGCTGACGATATAATGACCCTAAATGATAAATCTTAATTAGAGATTTAATTTAAGGATTTAAATGCCATAATTAGATTCAGTGAACGATTTCGAGTATCTTGACTGTAATTATGACTATGTTATGAACAGTGCGTTCTGCCGGAGAATTTGCAAATTGTGAATTTACCGGTAGAGCTTAAATGATTAAAAATGATTTTAGAGACATAATTTGACAATTCTGACGTCAAATATGAGTTCAGAACGAAAAATTGTATAGTCTGGCACTTTCCGTGAAAATCTCGTGAATAGTGTTTCTACCGGGTATTTGTACCGCTGTTTAAGCAACCGGTAGAGTCCAGAAATAAATAATTGATAAAATAAGAATAAGAAAGTCCAATATATGCCAAACAAGTCAATATAGGCCCAAGGAAATGATAAGTTAATAAGTTTTAAGTTCAGAAGTAAACGAAGTACAGTTAGTGGTTCACTGTGCATTTCGTCAAAAACGGTGCAGAAACCACACTGCGAATTATGAATAGTGTTCCTTAGAAAATAAAAGTAATGTAAATGACTTTAGAAAAATAAAAATATATTTGTAGCTTTGAGTTAGTTCCGGGTTAGTTTAAGTGAAAATACGCGAAAGAAAAATACCCGGGTAAAAGGCCACATGTGCTCACCTTCTTAAGTCACTTAAGTCTCATTTCCAAATCAGTTTCTCTCTCCTCTCCTCACTCTCAAAACTGAGCTGCAGCCATGGGGGAAGGGTTTGGGGTTGTCTTCTTCTTTCTTTGATTTCTCCATGGTTAAGCCACCAAATCTTCCACCCAATATACCAATCTCATAGGAAATCGTCCAAGGAAGCTATTCCACCCCTCCGTTTGAGCTGATTTCGTGTGTGGAGAGAGATACTGGTCATCTCATTTTCGTGACACTATTCATCAAAGAAGAAAAGGTGCATTTTTGAAGGAGCCTTGCTTGGAGATGTGTCTTCTAGGCTTTGGTAGTTGATTAGAGGTAACAAACCTCTATTTTCATGATAGTGTCTTGATTATTTAAGTTATAAAATTATGAATATGCTTTGGTGGTAAAGCATTGTGTGTTAAACTTTGATTGATGATGAATCCTTGATGTTTTGGATTTAGGAAATGAAAATAAGTGTTAATATGTATGTAAAAAAATTAGAAAAAAATCCTATGCCCTCCTCTATGCTTCGGCCATGATGGGTCACGTAGGGTGCATTGTGCAAAATTTTATTTGATATATTTAGAGTGTCTAATGTGTTGGAGTGTGTATGAATTTGGTAAATTAGTGTAAAGGCCAAAGTGGGAAAAATCCTTTGTGTCTTGATTCCCTATGTTTCGGCTATGGAGAGTGGTGAGGGGCTTGATGTTCAAACATTATGTTAGAACAATATGGAAACATACATTTGTATGTGTAAGTTACATGTAATTAATAAGAAAAGAGCCCTTGCCTTTTCCTTATAGTGTTCGACCTAGAGGGTAGTATAGGGGACATTTTGTCACATCTTATTTTAATAAAATGTGTTGTAATGCAATGTATAAAATGAACGAGTTAAAGAAAGTGAAATGAATTAAAAATCGTTGAAAGATATTTTGTTCTCCTCTAGGTAGGTCCACGACCTTTTAAGGAAAGTGGCAAGAATTATATTGGAGAATTCTCAAGTGAACACTTGATTAAATTAAAGAACGCTAACGAGTATAAGGTGGTCTAGACTTGTGTATTGGCAAAAATATAAAGAAATGAATATAAGCGATAAAATGTATGCCTTCTGTGAAAGCTAGGCATGATGACATTTTATTGATTTTGGATTTGTGGATTCTTGATCTAGGTGTACCTAGGGACTAAAAAGGATCGAAATCTCTTGAAGACATATAAGTAACTTGTGCAACAAGTAAGCGTATTGGTAAAGCTTCAAGAGGTAAGCTCTATGTTTAAGGAGTCTTTTCCGGCTTGAGTGCTCCACCATGATTAGTGAACTATGGTTGGACTGTATGACTGTTATTTAGATGCTTTGTATAGATGCATTCATATAGAGTTATTTGATAACATGATATGTTTTGCTCTGATATGACTTCTGTAATATGATTTCTGTAACAATCTCTGGCCATTGATTGTATAGTACCCGGACGTCCGCTTTGGGGTCCTCCCTCGGGACTGATGGTGTACGCCTCTGATATGTCTGGTTCCGCTTTGGGGTCCTCCCTCGGGAACACGTGCGTTGATTTTCGCTTGGGGTCCTCCCTTGGGAATGACGGCGCACATCTCTGATATGATATGGATATATGCTCTGTTCTGTTATGATATCTGTTATATGTTGTATTCGTATACTTTGTATCTGACTTTCATGCAGGAGTGAGCCAGGGGTATGGAGAATTCTCTATAAACCTGGAGCTTATTGAGATTTGTAATCTCACCCCTCTTTGGGGACATATTTTCAGGTGCCCAGATTCCCGGTGAGTCCTCACTAGGCAGGGACACGACACGTGGCTGAGGCAGTTGACAGATCGGATTTTGAGTGGCTGTAGGCTACTACCTTTTTGGAGTGTTTGATGTCTTTTAGTATTTTCGCATTTGATGGATCATGATATTGATCCTTTATTTTGTATATGGCCTGTATATGTTTTGTACATGTTTGTCGCTTTGATGCATGTACATTTGGGTATTCAGGCACGTTATATGATGATGTATTATTCAGTTTATGATTTCTTATTGGATTGCATGCTGATTAGGATAGTGGCACGAAGCCATATTTTGCATGCGCCCATGGATGGGTATCTGATTATATTTGCATGATTGGTACTTCTGGATTAATATGCTGTATAAACTGTTTATCAGGAAACGCTTCTGAGTGGGATTGAAAAATCTCCAGTTGTCCGATTTATAGAGGAAACTCTGCCCGATTTTCGTTTACGCCGAGTAAGAACTAAGTTAGAAAAAGAAAAAGTTAGCTCATATTTTCGTAAGTTAAGTCTTCCGTTGTTTCTGTTTATATCATGTGTATGTTAATTGAACCAGCTCGAGACGGGGATGTTACAGACGAGGGCGGAGAGTGATCGCCGGTGCGCAAGGGCACGGACAAGGAGCGGCTCCTGGCAGGCTTCTAGGGATGGGGGTACATGAATGAATCGAATCAACACCCGAAAGAGAGGGATTTCAGAGACTGTGCTGGTATGGGACGGTACAGTTGGAAATGACTTATAAGAATTAATTGGTACTACCTATACTAACAAGATGCATCTACTTTTCGGTAGCCCGGATCGGAAGAACTCCACAGTTAAGCGTGCGACTTGGAGCAATTCAGGGATGGGTGACCTCCTGGGAAGTTTTCCCGGGAAGTGTGCGAGTGGGGACAAAGCACGCTGAAAAGTCTCGTGTTAGTGTGTGGGGACAGTCGTTGATCCTTGCAAGTTGCCAGGCGTTACAAAAGGGACCCGGTAGAGTATGAGAATGTGACCCCTTCGGTTATAAGAGACTCAAATCTTATCAATCAAAACTATATTAGTTTCAGACTCAAGGAATAATTGGAATGGAGATTTACGAGTTGAAGTCTGGCTATTAACCCATACTGATTAATAAGAGCAGAAAAGGCAAATAACACCCAACTCAATCAAAGCTCAATTTATACCAGTCTCAAAGAATAAGAGGAAAAAACACTAAAGGTTCACAATGCAAAGTCTGGTTCATATTCTAAATTGGTAACAAAGAGTGGAAGAACACAAATAACAGACAATGACTGTTAAAAATGGTAGGGGAGTCCAAAACCTTGGGAAGAATTTATTCAACAATGGGCCAAATGATAAACCACAATAAATGGGCTAACACCACATCTCAACCCAAAATCTTAAGGCTGTAGGTCTATGAGTCTTTTTGCATTTATATGGTTCTTACTTGGTTCATGTTTAACCGATGTAGGACTTCATTACTACTCACAATATTTCCAACAATGACAACCCACCCCATGCTCTTAAGTTAGATGTTAGTCCTCGAAGTTCTCTACCAAGAATTTTCCCTTTGCAGCACCATGGAAAGGAAGGGGCCAGTGACTGCCACTCCAAATCCATAAAAGTGCAACCAATTGATCTTCATGTTGTTCATTATCATAACCAGACATGATGGAACAAAATTAACAATGGGAGCACACAAGAAGAAAAAGATTAAGGCAGGATTGGCATATGGAAGATGGTTTGTCTAACATGACGAGAGATAAAGCTAAAAGTTTAAATTACATGCAAGTCATTTGTCATTACTCTAAGAGCTGATGATTGCATAATCATAGTCAAGGTCAGGCAAAATAGATTTTATCCTTGACCTAAAAACCATATTCTTAAGAGGGCATACTTGGAACAATGGTAAAGTTGCTCATTTGTGATTGAAAGGTCACAAATTCGAATATGAAAAACAGTCTCTTTGCAAATATATAAAAATAAAACTCTGTACAAGATTGGCCTTATCCCTACCCTTGCTACTTGCCTTACCATTATTAGTTGGGGTTTAACGGGGAGTGATTTTTTAAAAACCATAGTCTTCCAAGTTGTCTTTATATTATATTATATCTTAATATTTTTATATTATAGCCTTCCAAGTTGTCTTTACCAATGAATTCAAAGAGTTCATCCAAAACTATTATGATATTAGATTCAATATATCCAGCATTTGTTAAACGTCTTCCATGAGATGTACGACAGCCAATATCATTTTACGTTTGTTAAGATACTGACACTGTTCATTAAATTTTTCACTGAAAGAACAGACACATTGGAAAATCAGTGAACTCGCGCAAACCCAACAGAATCAAAATTTATCATTCTCTAAACCAAGCAAAGAACACTTTTGGGGAAGGAGGTGGAAATTGGACATATTTGCAAAAATTTAACAAAAAGATCTAGACTCATACCTCCCTTTTCCCAACTTGAACATAAAAGTGGTTAAGCAATGATCTCTTTGCCTCTCTAACTTGACAATAAACGACGGCCTTTGGTATAGAATTTTTAAGTGTATCACAAATCATGTTGATATAAGCACTAACATTTGATCCTGAAAAAAGAATCACAGAATATTATAACAATCAGGAATCTATTTCTTATAACAATTCAAGGAAAAACTGAGAATCGTGAGTGAATATCCAATTTTACAGATCTGTAAATATTGTTCAATTAAAATCCATAACAAGTAGCAATAAGATATTTGTTACTATAATCGAAATCTTATTATTTTAGCAGACATACTGGGAAGGGCTTGTACTAGTAGAAATACACTAACTCTTGTCCTAATTGTTAGTATAGATAGGTGTTATTACTTTCTATTGTAACACATCTGGTATCACACTATTTCTGACATTCGTTCAACAACATTTAAATTCAAAACCAGCTTTAACGTGATACCTAAAATAAATGACTTATCAAAGCACCCAATTCTTAATTTTTATAGAACCAATAAACACAACCTGATATAGGAGCAAAAGGGAGAAATTCTAAAAATCTCAAAATGTGGACTTTTTTGTGTTGTGCATGTGGTTAGAAGGCTTCTAGTAAATTATATACCAATTTTCCGGAGATGATTATCTGTGTAATTGTCCATATTGGGATTAGGACTATTCCGACTTGGGTTCTTTTCTGGTTCAAGATGAATCTTCCGAAAAAATTCCACTGTTAGATAGCTAGACTCCATATCAACTAGCCGTGTCACTGTTTTCCTACTTTCATCTCTGAATCTTTCCAAAGCGTCATTTGCAGCTGTGGCTATCTCAGATTGAAGTGTTGGAAACCTCTTCAATTCCTATATGCCATAAAATTGTAAGAGCGTAAGAATTATTTCACTTTGTAACTTCCTGAATCCTAGGTGAAGTTGGGGGGGCATTCCAGGTGAGTTTGAATTTCCATACATGTAAAGCAACAGTTTTCATGACAAGTTAATCAGAAAAAAAGCTAATTGTTTATGGAGCGTTCTTTCAAACTTCCTAGTGAGATGAGTTATACTTGGTTTTCCTAATTCTTTAAATCTATAAAATTAGAGCAATATGATAGAGTGCTAGATTTTTGTTTCAAGTCCTAAAAGGAGGACATAGAATTATTCCACAGTTCAAAATTACATAAATTGAGTTTCCATTATGAGAATTTTAAACTTTAATCCAGAAAATATAAAATTATAAAGATATCCTTTTATTCCTGAAGAGAAAGTAGGCGGTATTCTACTTCTACTTAGCTTAGCCAAGGCCATCCCCAAAATGTGTTACATGAATTTATTTTAAAACACCACATCTTATGCCTATGACCTTTTTTCTCCTCTTCCATCCAGTTTTCTAACTCCAACTCTTCATTTCCTTGTTCCAACAGTAAAACAGAACACTCTTAATATTTTAGGGTGAAGCTAAAACTGGAACATTCATTCACCTTTTCCACAAGCACAGGAACACCAATGTCACTTACATGCAGAATAAGAACAAGATCATCCCACTTGCGAGTGTTTTATTTGAAAATCAAGGGCTTTTCTGAAAGAATTATATCAACTTAAAACATTGCTTACCTCAGTTGCTGCAATTGACTTCCGTACTAATTCCTTTAAAACGAGGTGGACCTGAAAGTAGATGACAGCAAAAAATTTGTAAGTTAAAGGATAAAATAAATTGAAGAACACCCCAGTCCATGGATGAAAAGGTGCACTACTCGTAAGGAGATAAAGCATTCCTTTAAAACTTGAAACACGGTATATGAGCAGGATGTCCACGCAAACAAGTAATCATATTATGCATAAACAAGTTTATTCAAGCATATTAATATCTGGTACATCCATCACCTATTAAACGGATCAAGGAATAAATGCATTTGTGCTTCCCACATTGAACAGATTATTGTATAAAACATAGTCAAGAGGATTACAGCATCCACAGAGGCTTCAGCTGGGCCTTTGAAATAGCCGATAGATCCATCAATAAGTCTTCTGTAGCCTTGCTCTGGAGCAATCAGATGGGGCTGATAACCATCAGCTTCTGTAACAACTCGCTGGACGTTTTTTATGGAAAGATGACGATCAAAGGGGAGTTTTTTCAGAGCAGCCGGTAATTGGTTGTCAAAAACACCATAAATCCGATCCCCACCAGGACGTCTAAAATAGAAGTTGGTTACTTAATCAAATATATTTACTCCCCAAAAAATTAACAAGAAAAGGAAAATTAGTTGCATAAAATTATTTCATAACAAAACAACAGCATCCTATACAGGTGTATCTAATTAAACTCAATTATGTTATTTATTTTTTTCCAATTACTCTCTGCTTCAGGAGTTAGAAGAACTTTTGCCCAAAACTACTGTCAAAAACTTAATAAGGGCGCTTACCCTCCATCCAGGTGTTCCTTAAATACTTTGTCAAATGCACGACACATCTCTAAAATAGTGTATAGTTGGGCCTATAAAAAAATAACACTACTTAGTATAAGAAGAAATCAAGTAGTTTCAAATCATAGAAGATTGATTTCAGCATTGTTCTAAGTTCATACCCCTGAGTCCACAGCTATAGGCCTGCCAATCCGGTCCAACTCTGCATTAAGCTCATCAATGGTTTTATTTATTAAGGCAATGATACTAGGTATCCGTTGCCTAATAGCATACTCCAAATGCTGAATAGATAAGTGCCAGTGAAGGATAGAAAGGGAAATTACTCATCATAGGATGAATTAGAGCATACAGAAATCACTTTAAGAAAAAAGTATCACGACCACAACGTTAAGGAAAATAACATGAATAATAATTAGAATACCTCA